CTGACTGAGATTTCTGCCGTTGTTCCTGTTTGCCTTTGTATGTCATTCGTTTACTCAGTGAATATGAGCTCAGATTGCAGTCGCTGCTTTCTTTTACATGTTCTGATGCACACACACACATACACACACACACACACACACACACACACACATGCCCAGCGGTGTGTGATTTCAGTGCAGCTGTGTGTTTAGACGTTTTTGAGGTGTGACTTTAATGGCAACGTGTGTGTGTGTGTGTGTGTGTGTGTGTGTGTGTGTGTGTGTGTGTGTGTGTGTGTGTGGTATTTAATCAGCTGCTGTATTCCTCAGTACGTCAGGGCGCGGCTGAAGCAACTGGTCGATATCTTTCACACTTGACTCAAAGCTGATGCTGAAGAAATCCAAAATGTTCCTTCATCATGTGTGTTTAGATGTAGAGCAGTGAGGATGCAGGTCTTCAGCGTGATCTGGGATCGATTTATATAAAACAGTCAAGAAAGTCATTGTTTACTGAGTTACAAATAGTCGGACGCAAACTTTATTCCCTGTAGAGAACTGTTAGATGGTTTTAAAGTGCTGAAATCCAGTTTGATTAATGGATGTTTGGTTCCTGACGCAGCAATGCCTGTTGACCAGTCACAACAGACTGGGCTATCTGGCCAATCGGAGAAGAGTAGAACCACCAGATCAGTCACAAAAGACTAGGCCATTCAGAGCAGAGAAGAGTCATTTAACCAATCAGAGCAAAGAAGAGCCATCCGACCAAGCCATCTAACCAATCAGAGCAGATTAGAGCCATCTGACCAATCAGAGCAGAGTCATCTGACCAATAAGAGCTGAGTAGAAGCATCTGACCAATCACAGAAGAGTAGAGTCATCTTACCTATCAGAGTACAGGAGAGACATCCGACCAATCAGAGCAGAGTAGAGCGATCTGACCAATCAGAGGAGAGTACAGTCTTCTGACCTATCAGAGTAGAAGAGATACATCTGACCAATCAGAGTACAGTCATCTGACCAATAAGAGCTGAGTAGAAGCATCTGACCAATCACAGAAGAGTCATCTTACCTATTAGAGTACAGTAGAGACATCTGACCAATCAAAGCAGAGTAGAACCATCTGACCAATCAGAGTCAAACAGTACCATCTGACCAACCAGAGCAAAGTAGAACGATCTGACCAATCAGAGGAGAGTACAGTCTTCTGACCTATCAGAGTAAAGGAGATGCATCTGACCAATCAGAGCAGAGTCATCTGACCAATAAGAGCTGAATAGAACCATCTGACCAATCACAGAAGAGTAGAGTCATCTTACCTATCAGAGTACAGGAGAGACATCCGGCCAATCAGAGCAGAGTAGAACCATCTGACCAATCAGAGTCAAACAGTACCATCTGACCAACCAGAGCAAAGTAGAGCTATCTGACCAATCAGAGGAGAGTACAGTCTTCTGACCTATCAGAGTAGAGGAGATGCATCTGACCCATCAGAGCAGAGTCGTCTGACCAATAGGAGCTGAGTAGAGCGATCTGACCAATCAGAGCAGAGGACAGTCCTCTGACCTATCAGAGTAAAGGAGATGCATCTGACTAATTGGAGCAGAGTCGTCTGGCCAATAAGAGCCGAGTAGAAGCATCTGACCAATCACAGAAGAGTAGAGTCATCTTACCTATCAGAGTACAGGAGAGACATCCGGCCAATCAGAGCAGAGTAGAACCATCTGACCAATCAGAGTCAAACAGTACCATCTGAACACCCAGAGGAAAGTAGAGTGATCTGACCAGTCAGAGGAGAGCACAGTCTTCTGACCTATCAGAGTAGAGGAGATACATCTGACCAATCAGAGCAGAGTCGTCTGGCCAATAAGAGCCGAGTAGAAGCATCTGACCAATCACAGAAGAGTAGAGTCATCTTACCTATCAGAGTACAGCAGAGTCATCCGACCAATCAGAGTCAAACTGTACCATCTGACCAACCAGAGCAAAGTAGAGCGATCTGACCAATCAGAGCAGAGTACAGTCTTCTGACCTATCAGAGTAAAGGAGATGCATCTGACTAATCAGAGCAGAGTCGTCTGGCCAATAAGAGCTGAGTAGAAGCATCTGACCAATCACAGAAGAGTAGAGTCATCTTACCTATCAGAGAACAGGAGATACATCCGGCCAATCAGGGCAGAGTGGAACCATCCGACCAATCAGAGTCAAACAGTACCATCTGACCAACCAGAGCAAAGTAGAGCTATCTGACCAATCCGAGGAGAGTACAGTCTTCTGACCTATCAGAGGAGATGCATCTGACCAATCAGAGCAGAGTCGTCTGACCAATAAGAGCTGAGTAGAGCGATCTGACCAATCAGAGCAGAGGACAGTCTTCTGACCTATCAGAGTAAAGGAGATGCATCTGACTAATCGGAGCAGAGTCGTCTGGCCAATAAGAGCCGAGTAGAAGCATCTGACCAATCACAGAAGAGTAGAGTCATCTTACCTATCAGAGTACAGGAGAGACATCCGGCCAGTCAGAGCAGAGTAGAACCATCTGACCAATCAGAGTCAAACAGTACCATCTGACCAACCAGAGCAAAGTAGAGCGATCTGACCAGTCAGAAGAGAGTACAGTCTTCTGACCTATCAGAGTAGAGGAGATGCATCTGACCAGTCAGAGCTTGTGCTTGACCGGATGTTTTTGACATCCACTTCACTTCGCTCTGTCTCGAGAGCACATCAGACCCTCAACCTCAAGGATGCAGTGAGACGTGTGTGTGTGTGTGTGTGTGTGTGTGTGTGTGTGTCTGTGTGACTCCAGTCCAGTGGCGCAGATGTTTTTGGGTGTTGATGGGGACTGAGACACACATTAACATGAGCTCATCCTCACCTGCGAAACCCCAGAGACAACATTACCTTCCCATGAGCCATGTGTGTGTGTGTGTGTGTGTGTGTGTGTGCGCGTGTGTATCTGTCGTATATGTATGTTTGTGTGTGTGCGTCTGTTTGTGCATCTCTGTGTGTATGTGTGCGTGTGTGTTGTGTGCATGTATATGGGTGTGTGTCTATCTATGTGTGTGTGAGGGTGTTTATGTGTGTGTGCATCTATGAGTGTGTTTGTGTGTGCATGTGTGTGTGTGTTTGTGTGTCTATGTATATGCGTGTTGTGTGCAGCTAGGTGTGTTTGTGTGTGTGTGTGTGTGTGTGTGTGTGTGTGTGTGTGTGTGTGTGTTTATGTGTATCTGTGTGTAATGTGTGCATCTATGTGTGTGCGTGTGTGTCTGTCGTTTGTTTGTGTGTGTGTGTGTCTGTCTGTGCATGTGTGTGTGTGTGCAGCTATGTGTGCATGTGTGTTTGTGTGTAGGTGTGTGTTTATGTCTGTCTGTATATGTGTGTGTGTTGTGTGCATCTATGTTTGTGCGTGTGTCTGTCGTTTGTGTGTGTGTGTGTGTGTGTGTGTGTGTGTGTGTGTGTGTGTGTGTATGTAAGTGTGTTTATATAAATGTATGTGGGTGTGTTTGTGTGTATGTCTATGTGTGTGTTTGTGTGCAGCTATTTGTGTGTATGTCTATGTGTGTGTGTGTGTTTGTGTGCAGCTATTTGTGTGTGTGTGTCTGTGTGTATGTGTGCACGTACATCTGTCAGTTCGTGTGTGTTTTATAAAATATTAATTTCAGCCAAACAAAGAAATAAGTAGAAACATGCAAAAGGAGATACTTTGAAAAATGTCCTCGTTCTGTTAAACCTCACCGGGGAAATATTTGAAGTATTTCAAAACTAAAAGTGAAATATTTGACGGAAAATATCATATATATATATAAATATATATGATAGGTCATTTTTCATGGGTGTGTGTGTGTGTGTGTGTTGTGCAGGTAGCTCAGCTGTTGTTGAGCAGTAATATGGTGGCATCTCTGTTAGAGGGCGATCGGAGAGACGCGTCCGACTCCAACTGTAACACTCCTCTACACCTCGCCGCTCGCAACGGACACAAAGACGTCATCCGGTAAGCTCAGAGACGCACAAGTGTGTGTGTGTGTGTGTGTGTGTGTGTGTGTGTGTGTGTGTGTGTGTGTGTGTGTGTGCTTGTTTTTATATGCCAGTGTGGTCTTACACCTGAATAAACACAGACTCATGGGGACTTGACATCACATTGGGGACTAAATTTGAGATCTTCACAGGTAAACATGCTCATAAGTCAGACAGATTGAAGTGTTTGGAAAATATAAAAGTGTAGATGGTGTCCTGTGAGGGTTGGGTATAGGGGAACAGCTGTGGGAGGGGAGAGAATGTACGGTTTATATAGTAGAAACATCATTATATATAGGAACAGGTGTGTGTATGTGTTTGTGCAGGTTAATGTGGTTTACAGGGACACAAAGTTGTATAATGAGATGGGTATCACCTAGTTGTACTCTATTAAGCTGGTTTACAGGGACACACATCATGTCCCTGTAATACAAATCACTTAAAAATCATACTTAACAAGGTCTTTCCAAAATTAGATTTGCCATTGATTTGATGTGAGGGTTGGGTTTAGGGATAGGGGTAGACTTACACTCACCGGCCACTTTATTAGGTACACCTGTCCACCTGCTCATTATTGCAAATTTCTAGTCATCCAATCACATGGCAGCAACTTGATGCATTTAGGCGTGTAGACGTGGTCAAGACGATCTGCTGCAGTTCAAAGCGAGCATCAGAATGGGAAAGAAAGGGGATTTAAGTGACTTCGGATGGTCTGAGTATTTCAGAAACTGCTGATCTACTGGGATGTTCACGCACAACCATCTCTAGGGTTTACAGAGAATCGTCTAAAAGCGAAAGAATAACCAGTGAGGGACAGTTCTGTGGGCGCAAATACCTTGTTGATGCCAAAGTTAGAGGAGAATGGCCAGACTGGCTCCAGCTGATTGAAAGGCAACAGTGACTCAAATAAGCACTCGATACAACCGAGGTCTACAGAAGAGCATCTCTGAACACACAACACGTCCAACCTTGAGGCGGATGGGCTACAGCAGCAGAAGAGCACACCGGGTGCCGCTCCTGTCAGCTAAGAACAGGAAACTGAGGCTACAATTCACACAGACTCACCAAAACTGGACAATAGAAGATTGGAGAAACGTTGCTGCTCTGAGTCTCCATTTCTGCTGACACATTTGGATGCTCGGCTCAGAATTTGGCGTCAACAACATGAAAGCATGGATCCATCCTGCCTTGTATCAGAGGTTCAGGCTGGTGGTGGTGGTGTAATGGTGTGGGGGAGATTTTCTTGGCACACTTTGGCATCATTAGTACTAATTGAGCATCAACGCCACAGCCTACCTGAGTATTGCTGCTGACCATGTCCATCCCTTTATGAGCACAGTGTCTCCATCTACTGATGACTACTTCCAGCAGGACATGACAATGAGTTCACTGTACTCAAATGGCTTCCACAGTCACCAGATCTCAATCCAATAGAGCAGCTTTGGGATGTGGTGGAACGAGAGATCCTGATCATGGATGTGCAGCCGACAAATCTGTAGCAACTGCGTGATGCTATCATGTCAATATGGAGCAAAACCTCTGAGGAATATTTCCAGTTCCTTGTTGAATCTGTGCCACAAAGGATTAAGGCAGTTCTGAAGGCAAAAGGGGGTCCAACCCGCTACTAGTAAGGTGTACCTAATAAAGTGGCCGGTGAGTGTACATAATAAGCAGTTTCTGCAGTATTAAATGCATTGTGTATTTTAGTGTCCTTGTAAACCATGTATACTATTGTGCGTGTTTGTTGCACATCTGCAGATCTCAGCTGTGTCAGCCTCTCTGTCTCTCTGGAGAGCTCACTGTGGGTTTCATGCGTCAACAATGGATTTCATTCTCCAGGTGTTTTCAGAGTCGCTGCTGATGTATTGCACAAATCAACCTCATAATAAATAATCATCGGATGACCCACTTTTAAAATGGAAGCATCAAATGCGAACACAGTCAGCTGAGTCCTGTATTAATGCAACAAACTTTATTCATTAGCAGAATGCAGATCTATTCGACTGGCTTTATTCCTGAACATAAACATGTCAAAAGACAGAACAGCTGCCATTAGGACAGTCCCGTGAAAAAGTTAGCACATCCTATTGAATTTCATGTTGTTGTTTTTTTAATCGGGACGTAATAAAAAAAGCTTTGTTGATCTTATTATGCACTTTTTAAGACCTGAAAAAGATCAGATCATTTTTTTTAATTGGAATATTATAGGGGCTACAAAGTTTTTCACATGACTGTATATGATGGCTAAATGAGCAGGCGAACTCCTAAAACACACATGCATCTATTTAATGAATGAATGACGTCTTCTGAAGTAATATAATATAATATAATATAATATAATATAATATAATATAATATAATATAAAAAATAATAAAATAATATGAAAAATATAATATAATATAATTTAATATAAAATAATATAATATAATATAAAAAATATAATATAATATAAAAACATAATAAAATATAATATAAAAATATAAACAATTAAAATATAAAATAATATAAAAATATAATATAATATAAAATAAAATATAATAAAATAAAATATAATATAGTATAAAAATATAATATAATATAATATAAAAATATAATATAATATAGTATAAAAATATATTATAAATAATATAAAAATATAATGTATTATCATTAAATATAATAAAAAAAGTAATATAATATTAAAATGTTATAAAAATATAATATAATATAAAATATAATAAAATATAATATAAAAAATGATATAATATAATATAAAAATATTATAAAATAATATTAAAAATATAATATAATATAATTTAATATAGAAATATAATATGATATAATATAATATAAAAAATTATAATATAATATAATATAAAAACATAATAAAATATAATATAAATATATAAAATATAAAAAAATTTAAATATAAAATAATATAAAAATATAATATAATATAAAAATAAAAATATAATAAAATAAAATATGATATAGTATAAAAATATAAATTAATATAATATTATACAATATAATATAATATAATTTAAAAATATAATATAATATAGTATAAAAATATAATGTAATATCATAAAATATAATAAAAAATAATATATTATTAAAATGTTATAATAATATAATATAAAAATATAATAAAATATAATATAAAATAATATAAAATATAATATAATATAATGTAATATAATATAATATAAAAATATAATAAAATATAATATAGTATAAAAATGTAATAAAATATAATATAATATATTATAAAAATATAATAAAATATAATACAAAAATATTTAAAATATAATATAATATAATATAATATAATATAATATAATATAATATAATATAAGAACAAAACTAAAAGTGCGTAGGATTTTAAAGTAGTTTGTGTCAAAAATATCAGTCCTCTGTGCATTATTTCTAAACATGTCTCAACACACTCATGTCACGCTTCACAACACACTCAGGATCATGCTTCACAACACACTGATGTTTCAGATTCCACTTGCATGACATTGAACAGCGTGCCTACATGTTGAGTCTTAGCAAACGCATGCCACGTTTTCCAACACTGAGAAGCATGACTTAAGCATGTGTCAGTACATGTCATCGTTCTCATCATGCTTACGTCACACTGTTCTTCTACCAACACATCTATGTCATGACAAACTTGAAGGGATCGTACAGTAAACCGAGCTCCTGACTCCTGGTAGTGATGTGTTCCCAGTATCCCGGCCAAATTTGCCCAATGGCTTCTGTCCATCATGGCCTCCAAATCATCCCCATATCATAACCATGATGTGTGGTGTACACTCTAACGCAAAAATGGCTGTCATTGCATCATCCAGGTGGATTCCGCACAAGTTGGATCAATCAGTTGAACAGTCTATGAGCTGACGTATGAGCGATGCGCTGATGGATCGACTGATATACGCGACTTTAAAGCAAACTGATGACCTTTACAGCCAATCACAGTCATTTCTGTTGAGCATGTGAACACAATGGCCAATCAGCGGTGTTAAAGAACGTGCTCAACAGTGCTCAAATGCTAGTTTGACATTTTTAAAATATCAGTACCGACTGGTACCGAACTCGATACTAACAAGAAAGTCTTAGGTCTGAAACTTACAGGATTGGTTTATAATACATTGACCTATATGTCAAAAGATAAAGGGAATTAAAATGTCTTCATGACCACTTTAAATATCAGCGAAATGATGGCACAAGGAAGTTTTAAAGGTTTTGTGACAATTAAAATATGCGTATTGTGATTTATTTTTAGTGTGTGTGATTTCTGCGGCTGTCACGCTAACAGATCTCCTCTAATGTCTGGCATTCCCACTGAAATTCCATCCAGGATCCCGACAGATGAGCGTCTCTGATTCCCCCAGATCTGTGTGTGTGTGAGTGTGTGTGTGTGAGTGTGTGAATTCCACAAGTCTGTGTGTATTATAGGCCCTGTAGTATGTAAATATACCACAGAGCGCTAAAGAGGCTGTCGTCTCCTCTCTCTTTCTCTCTGTGTCGTAGTCGTCAGTGAGTCCACCATTCATTGAGTTTCCATCGCTTGTCTGTCTGCAGGCTTCTTCTGAAAGCAGGAATTGACATCAACAGAACCACTAAAGCAGGCACAGCGCTCCACGAGGCCGCCCTCTATGGGAAAACAGAAGTAGTGCGGCTCCTTCTGGATGTAAGTCATCTGTTTGTGGAGGCATTTTTACTGCACGGGTCTTCAAACCTCCTTTTACACATTTTATTCACTGTGCCACAAATAAAAATCATAATTTAATGTGCATTTTAGTTCATTTAAGCAGAATCTTTCTTTATAACGGCCCATCATATGCTTCTTTGTGACAATCTTGTTTTTTGTGACAATTTTAGTTCATGTGGAAGTAGGTTTTATAGTATTTAAATTAGTGTTTATGTTTATATTACTCTTGTTTCTAAGTGTGCAGTTATAAAAAATTAATTTTAATCAACAAGGACACATTAAATTGATCGATAGCCTCAGTAAGGATATTTGTAATGCTGTTCTTTTGAATTTTGTTCATCAAATAGATTGTATTTCGGTTTCTGATGAACTTTAAAGAAGACTTCAATAACAATAGTAGTAGTAGTAATAATAATAATAATAATAATAATAATGATAATGATAATAATTATAATAATGATAATAATAATAATAATAATGATAATAATAATAATGATAATAATAATAATGAAAATAATAATAATGATAATAATAATAATAATAATGATAATAATAGTAATGATTATAATAATAATAATAATATTAATATTAATAATGATAATAATAATAATAATATTAATATTAATAATGATGATAATAATAATTATAATAATTATAACAATAATAATAATCATCATAATAATAATAATGATAATAATAATAATAATAATAGTAATGATTATAATAATAATATTAATAATGATAATAATAATAATAATAATAATAATGATGATAATAATAATGATAATAATAATAATGATAATGATAATAATGATAATGATAATAATAATAATAATAATAATGATAATAATAATAGTAATGATTATAATAATAATAATAATAATA